GTTTTCCTTTAGTTGTGCACTTAGGAGGTCTTTTCTAGCGAGTTTATGCGTCATGAAAATCGCAGAAAAATAATAGAGCTTACAAAGGCGAAGGGCACATTTCTGTTATCGCGATTGTGATTGTGATTGTACAATTATTGTAGATAGGAATGGAGGCTGCCTGCTTTTAATGAAAATTTCATTCGATCCCTCTCATTCATGATCGTGATTTGGTGTACTATATTCTAAAATATTTTTATCAAAGGATAGAGAAAATTCCGTGTTTGTGGGAGGGAAAGGGACAGAAGAGTTCGTTAACCAGAGGTATACTGGTAGTGCTGATAAATGTGTGAAACAAACAACTTCGAGTTAGCGTGAATTTTTACATAAAACTTTATGCACACTTGATTTAAATCGTTGCTCGGCTCAATATCGTAACATCAGCCTTTGACTGCGTGCAGTGATTATGCTGATTTTTAAGGTCTGATCTTGGTCAATTGTGAGTGTGCTGAGGTCCCAATGCCAGAATTTACCAAAACATTTTATGGCTAAAGGGGGTTTAGAAATTGCTCCTTACTTTGTTCATTAGCGTAACAAAACTTTTATGGTCTACTAGCCTTCAGTTATCTCTTTCATCTCATCAGATACAATTAGGCATCTATAAGCGTCAGGCTTATGTCTTCTTATAAATATATTGTCTTCTCGAAAGGTGACTGATGCACTATAAGGCAATTGTTGGCCAATTTTTGGAGGCGTTCCTAATTTAAGGACCTCTTAGCACAGGAGTAGTAGAGCGCGTGTGTTTATCTATGAATGACAAATCCACTGAAAACTTTGCCGTTAGAGTGGAGCCGAGTTAAGTTAGGTTCAGAGCAAACTGCCTGTTTACTGATATGGGAAAGTGTGCACATAATGCATTTCTGTTTATTAAAAGGTGTCCATTAACGTTCCCTAGACATTTGTCAGCCTTTAGTAAAATGGGGTCAAGGTTTATATAAAAGAATTCATGGCTTTAAGATAGGCGTGATAACAGTCAGTGCCTGACATTTTCACATGTGGGAGATGTAGCAGATAAACTTATTATTTTCTCTAGGCCCTCAATTCGTGCAATCAGTTTTGTTTTCTTTTCTATTACAAATCTATTCGCCATTTACGAGATGTTTTTAATAGATTTTGCAATAAAAGGGTTCTGTGTTCTTATGTTAAGTGATCTGGTATACACTACTCAGTCACTTTAGGGTTTGTTTGCTTTTCATTCTCTCGAGCCTTTTTGTGACGGTGGCTTCCTGGCCGTTGACTGAAATATTGCAGGAGATTGTGGCTCATTTAGGTACACTTGGAATCATGAAAGACAAACAAGTCATGTCTGAAACCGTTAACGCGAATTGACGGAAACGCTGAATCGTCGCCCAAAGCGATTTGAATATTAGATGTTCATAATTGCGCGAAATGACTCTCTTGAAGTATCAAAACATGGATGGCGACCAGTACTTAGAGTTTGTTCTTTGTTCTGTAAAATTCGATTACCAAGTTTAAGGGACAAATTTGTCACATCCAAGTGGTAAAAAGCAACTTAAGATCAGAAAAACAGTGAACTCTGGACTTGCAGACCACAAGATTTTGAACGATGGAATATTTATGAGAGATTGTTTTAGATGTAAGTTGTTGAGTCACGAACGGAAAACACGCTCTTAGCTTTATGCTGTCAGCTGATAAATCTACCCGAGTGAAAATATCGTCCTTGATTTATTTAGTTGTGCTTAAAATGGGCAATAAAAGTTCGTATTCCTGGGCTAATTTGCTTTAAGGAGCACTTCAACGTGAAGTTGTTGAGCTCAGTGGACGAAAACGGAAAGAGATGTCAACTGTTGCCCAATATTAGGCACGCTACATTAGTTTTGAAAGGGAAATGACGCCGTCTAGTCCTCGATGTCCTAAGCTTGATTAACGATTATTTAGCTAATGGATGTGTATTTGAAAGAAAAGTGTGTTTCGTGTCCTGGGGCTGTGGCACAGATAGCGTTTTTGTCCAGCATACATTAATAACTTTGATTTGCGGCACGAAAGCCATGAAAAGTCACGCGAGGTGCGACTGTGATTTTCGCTGGTTGAAATAAAAGTTTGGGGTTTCGGGAAGATTAATAAACGTGTTCTGAGGCCGGATATGAGACAAAGCATTCAAAGAAGGAAGGAAGAATTTGACCGTTTCTTGTCATTGACCTCTCTGAGCGTGGACACCGGCACGTGCTTCGGAATTAGTCATTCTTGTATAATAACCTTCATTTCTGACTTTCCACGTTTTAAGACTTAGCTGACTTTGTATTGATTAGGGGCCTTACTTGCATGGAGTTTCTCGTTTATATTTTTCTCAATGGCCATAAGAAATGAATACTCATAGAATGAAATAGAGCAGTCATCTAGCGTGTATACAGGGTAAATGATGATAGCCATCTTGACGACAAGTAGGTGGAAAAGGCGGAGTTATTTACTTCTGAGACAAAGATAAGTTTCATTGATAACA